AAAGAGAAACATAATGGCCTCTCGTATCAGTTTTGTTACCAAAGGGGGAACTGACTGGGATAAATCAGCACTTATATAATTTTAAAGACTACAAATTGCACTAGCCCTACGGGCTCATGCAATTTGTTTATCCCTCGAAAAATTTACTCGTGCTTATTTATCCCAAATTGCATTCGAAATCATGTAATTACCTATAAATGGCACCGTTTACAGACTACAGCGCCGGACATTTTGGAGTGATATCGTAAAATTTACAACGGTTTTCCTCCTTTTTCCTGATTTTTTGCTTTGTAAGCGATGTATAAAGAAGAATGGTGTTATTAATTCGAGATCATCAGTGTATCCTCAAACTTCCGAAATCTCTCGTTTTTAAATATCCTTTATTATCTCCTGCCTTAATATGATTTTTGTGCACGAATGTGCATCCCACAGCAACATTCGTCCAAATATATTTCCGGTTGTACTTATCTTAGTATTTTGTCAAAAATAAAGTACTTTGTTGATCCGATAGATATGAAGCTTGTACGGTGATAGCCAGAACAAATATTTAACCTCAGAGTCGGTGAAAGGGTAGGATATCTACATGTACCTCTCGCTTGATGAGAAATTGTTAAATAATCTCTCACTTTGGTAAATCAATGGTCTGAGAAAAACTTACTTTTGAAATGACACCTAAAATTGAGAGAAAGCGGATTTGAAGCATAAATCTGGAAGGCAAAATCTGGAAAGCTGCAAAAAGGAAACACATTTTGCCTGAGATTAGAAAAAATAAGCACAGTTGAGCATATAAATTGAAATTGAAAGCCATGAAGTACGTATCTAACAAGTAAGAACTATTGAGTAAACTAGACGAGTTTGATTTCATCCGTATCAGGGTTGGGTACTTAGTTTAAATCAGTGTTGTAGGAACTTAAAGATAATAATAATGATAGTAATAACATAACAATATATTCAAAATAGAACGTCTAGGATTGCGTGGACGAGCGCAGCTAATCAATTTAAACTGTAACAACCCTAAGAAAGATTTTCAAGTTAACATTTGTAGCGATGAATAAAAGGATTTTTCCTCGTCACTGCTTTGTGGATATCTTAATTTTTTTATAATCATATCCGAACAACTCGGTCAAGATCTCATAGTTTTTATTTGTTTTTATTACTTCCTATTGTTTGGATGATTGGGATATCTTCGTCCTGTGTGAAACGCTCTAAGTTTGCTGATTACTGAGGGTGAATACAAAAACCAAAAAACACTCGCAGTTAGATAAAGTCATGAAAAAATTGTAAATGAATCATCATTGCAGAGAACGTAGAGGTCCAAACCAGCGTAATAAACGATTACATACCAAACGAACAACGCTTCATTTTGTTGT